GACAGCTTGAGGCTCTGTCTCAAAAAAAAAAAAAAAAAAAAAGAATAGTTTTAGGTACTGAATTCTGAACGCCAGGAAGAATATCAGCATGTTCTCCTAAGTTCTAAGACATCACTTAAGTGATGCTGTTGTAAGAATGTTTCATGACAAAACTTAAAATGACATATTTGTAAAAAAAAGTCATGCATTCTAGTTGGCAGTGGTGGCGGTGCCTTGTCATCTCAGCTATGGGGGAGGCTGAGGCAAAAGGATAGCTTGAACCCAGGTGTTCGAAGCTGCAGTGAGCTATGATGATGCCAATGCACTCCACCCAGGGTGGGAGAGAGTAAGACTGTGTCCCCCACCCCCTCAAAAGCCAGGCGTTTGTGTTGACATTGCCAAAATAGATACAACCTTAAAAACACACCCAAATAAAACTTCAACCCTTACTCATAGGGGATAAAACTTCAACCCTTACTCAAGCTATCCCCCTGGGTAGAGTGCTGTGGCATCACAGTTTACAGCAACCTCTAACTCCTGGGCTTAGCCTCCCAAGTAGCCTGCCACAACGCCTGGCTATTTTTGCTTGCAGCCGTCATTGTTGTTTTGGTGCCTGGGCTGGATTCCACCCTGCCACCTTAGGTGTATGTGGCTGGCGCCTTAGCCACTTGAGCCACAGGCGATGAGCCTAATTTTTTATTTTTTTAAGAGGGGTCTCCCTGTGTCACCCAAGGTGGAGGGCAATGATGATACCAGAATTTTGCTCTTCAGTAGGTCCTTGGTCTCCAGAATTCGAAGAAGGAACCCACAAACCACAGATCAGTGGTAACATAGGACTTTTATTAGAAGTTAGAAAGGAATATAGAAAAAGTAAAAAGCACCAGAGCTTCTGGAAAGGGAAAAGAACCGAAGAACTCTCTGGAGAGTCTTCGTCTAGGGGAATTAGGTCTAGAGGATTACACCTGGCTGGCAGTTGGTAGGTGGAAATGAGTGCATTAACAAATGAATGAATGTAGTTATCATGTTCTTTACAGTCTTTGTCCCTGAGAAGGGATTAGGGTGTGTGGTCTTACCCAAGGTGGAACCACTCAAAAAAACCATCATAGGAAGGCAGTCTGCTTGTGCCTGGAAATGGGGATCTGACCTCTGAGCTTAGAGAAGGGGGGACTTCCTGTCTAGCCCTAAGTGGTGGAATCCTGTATCAGTAGCACCTATAAAGTTCCCTTAAAGCATTGTTTTTGTTGCAAGATCACAGCTCACTGCAGCCTCCAATTCCTGACCTTGAAGGCTCAAGCGATCCTCTCACTGCAGCCTCGCACAGGGGTGGGGCTACAGGTGCAAAAGGCTTTGTCTTTTTTTACAATCACATAAGCCACACAATTATCCCTTTAACAAAATCTAATATTTCTTATTCTTCTTTTATTTGAGAAAACTCCCCCTCCCCCTTGCCCAGGCAAAAGATAAATTACTTTGCTCTCGAATGACTAAATTTTTAACTCTTTTACAAGCAGAAAAAGCAGCCCGGGCGGGGCCTGTGCGTCACGTGGCTGGCGCGGCGCTCTCTGCGGCTGTTGATTGGTGCAGGCCAGAGGGCGTGTGGTGAAACAGGAGCCGGGGCGCTTCTTGGTCCCACCAGAGAGTTGCGAAGCCTCCGCTGTCCTAGAGGGGACGCGGGAGGGACACTTTGCTTGGCGCGGGCTGATGGGCCAGAGGCTCAGAGGACGCCTCGAGACAGGGGGATCTTCGGTCAGGCCAGGGAGCCCGAGTTGGGAGCCCAGTCCCGTGGCTGCCGCGGTGGAGGCAGCGGGGCGGACTGTCGGCGGCGACGGCAGGTTCGGGGACAAAGAAACGATTGTGCTGGGAGGACTGGGGTCCGGGGAAGCCAGCAGCGGAGAGACACCCCCCCCGCCCCCGGTCTTCAGGGGACTTTGCAGGGCTTGTGCGAGGCCCTTCGGGGTCTGTGGCACAAGCTTTTGAATATTTTGGGCGGTGTCAGGTCTTCAGGAGCGAGGAGGAATAAAGCTGGGAGGAGAAATGGCTGGTTTACACTGTTGTTTGTGAAAGGGTGGCACTCCACCCGCAGAGAGCTCACCGACCACCAAGGCTTGTATGAAAGGTGTTTATTGGCGAGGGATGCTGCAGAGCAGCGCCAAGGAGGAGAGAAAAGAGAAGAGAGATAGGTTTAGTTAGGGGAAGTCTCAGAATGGTGACGGGATGTTAGAATAGCCAATAAGGAGTTACTGCCCTGGCGGGAAAAGCCCTTTGGGACAGGCCATAAGTTTGAAATTTTTAGTGGGTAATTGGGACAGGGAGATAAGGAGATGTCTAGCAGGCAACTCCCTGTGCTTGGAAAGGAGCTGTAAGAGTGAGACAGCTAGTCCTGGTCTGTTGAAAGTGGGAAGGGGCTTCTCTGGGGCAATTACCTAACAGTTTGGTTTTGTAATAGGGGAAAACGAGACTAGATGATAGGTTTAAGATGTTCACACCGTTGTGAGTGAAAGGTTCTGAACCCAAAGAAGAAAGATTATTCCAAGGCGCGAAACAAAGAAAAACGGAATCCCCGTTCTGTAGAAATAATGTGGTCTTTATTTCCACCTGGATGCAGGTGGGGTGAAATCAAGAAAGGAATCTCTTGGGCGGCGCCTGTGGCTCAGTGAGCAGGGGCGCTGGCCCCATATACCGAGGGTGGCAGGTTCGAACCGGCCCCGGCCAAACTGCAACAAAAGAAAGTAGCCTGGTGTTGTGGCTTGCGCCTCAGCCCAAGAGCTGGAGGTTACTGTGAGTTGTGACGGCTCGGCACTATACCGAGGAAAAAACGGAATTTAAGGGTCAGGGAGGGCAGCAATGGGTGGCATTCCTATTTCCTGGGAGGGACATGAACCTGACCCTGCCTGGGCGGGGCAAGTTTATTTGGGCAGGTATACCTGATTCTATCAGTGAGGTAGCATTTTAGATTCTGTCAAAAGTTAAAATCGTACATAGTTACCATTCAATAAAAATAAAAAAGTTGAAATCACATCAAATCAAAAATTTAAGAGTTTATTGTGCATACAAAGGAACGGTTGGTGAACTGTTACAACACAATTTATAAACCGTAGTGAGGAAGTGCATTTATGTTGGTTGTTATAACCTTCCATATCTTTTAAGACAAATAGAGCTATACAAGCTTTTCGTGTCTGACTAACAGGTTAACTTCTATCATGCGGACAAGAAAAAGCTGCAGCTTCCTTCCTGGTCAGAACAGCTATTTGAGGAAATCAGGATATTTTAAATTTGTGTGTCGTGATCTACGATGGTTAGCCTGGGGGTGTACCAAAACGTGACCTCCAATTGATTTTTTTTTTTTTTAAGTCTGACTTCCAGGGCGGCATCTGTGGCTTAAGGAGTGGAGCGCCACCCCATTTACATGAGGTGGTGGGTTCCTGGCCAAAACTGCAACAGAGAAAAAAGTCTGACTTCCAAATGCAGCCTTCACAATATATACTCAACAAATACAGTTTGAATTAAAGAAATGAGGCCTGTGCCCCAGCCTTGGGACAGTTTTTGAAGTGCCTGTTTGCTTAAGAAGCAAGAGGGGAGGCATCTTTGAACTTTGAGGAAGGTAAATTGTGTGTGAGATTAAATTAAGAAAGCGTCACCCTGGCTCGGCGCCTGTGGCTCAAGTGGCTAAGGCACCAGTCACATACACCTAAGGTGATGGGTTTGAATCCAGCCCGGGCCGCCAAACAACAATGATGGCTGCAACCAAAAAATAGCCAGGCGTTGTGATGGGCGCCTGTGGTCCCAGCTACTTGGGAGGCTGAGGCAGGAGACTCGCTTGAGCCCAGGAGTTGAAGGTTGCTATGAGCTGTGATGCCATGGCACTCTACCCAGGGGGACAGCTTGAGGCTCTGTCTCAAAAAGAAGAAAGAGTTACTCTTTGGGAGAAAGCAAATCTGTTATTGTTACTGTTGTCAAATCCAGTGAGTCCTTCCAGCAAATGACCAAACCCGAGAGTGCTTGAAGAATCCCAAAATACTTTTACAAGGGGCTTGTTAGTGCATGGTGATGGCACAGGGAGCAGGGAATACATAGTAGTAGATGTAGAAAAACAAAAGAAAAAGCCTATGGTATTAATATGTGAACTTACTTCATGAATGCAGGGGCCAAGGGAAATTTCCCCTTTACTTTCTGAAGGTTAGCTGGAAGATCAACTGATAAACCCTACTTGTAAATATGTAGATATGCAATTATCTTAGAAATTATCTATTGAAGAAGAGAAAACAGGGTGAGAAAGGAACAATTGTTCTCCTTGGTGGATCTTTAAGATGATAGGGGAAAAGTTTCTGCCATCATCTACTGATCTCTAAGGGCCTTAAATTCAAAATGCTCCTTATATCAATGGGCCATGTTTTGGGGTAAAGTTCTCTGTATTGCTTTAGGAGTCAAGTTTGGAGATTAATGTTTCTTGGCTAAGATAAATGGATGGTTCAGATGACAGTGGGAAAAAAGATAAAACCTATATATTGTGTATGTGACTCTGTTTGATGAAAGTAGAATTAAGTTGGATGTAGAATTAGGAAAATGTAGAAAAACACAAGAAAAAAGGAAAATCACCAGTATTTCATCCCATGTACTCCTTTAGAGGAACAATATCAACAATATTTAATTTATAGTTACTTCTTTGTGTGTGTGTGTATGTAGTCTGAAATCTCCAATAACTGTCCAAAAATTGATTGTGAGATGTAGGAATAAATGAAGAGCATCCAAATAAGAAAAAGCAAAGACTATTCAGAGTGTTCAGAAGAGATTCAAAGGCATGCAGAAGAAAGTATTTTAATGAAAAAGGAGAAGGTTCAGATGTGCCCTGTTTGGAGGTTTTTAGCTTAGGGAAGCTGGTTAACTAGATTACCCAGATTGGGCAGGGGAGCTTATTTGACTTTCTCCTGTTTGTTCTAAATTGAAGGGGGTTGAGGGTCAAAATTTGGGTTGTCTACCAAGTCCTGATTTGGGGTCCATTGCTGCAGAGGCTATGGTTGGCTTCCAGAGTTGGTTCCTGCTACAAGTTGTAGACCAGAGTTCTATTTTTATATGTGGTCTGCGTTATCCCTTTGTATATGAAGCAGTCTCCAAGTGAGGTACTACAGAACATGTTCTAGGGAGAAGGGGAGAGCAGGGCCACAGGTTCCCTAAGATAAAGCTTTAGAGAGTGATGTAGCTTCAGAAATTCCTAGAAGATTTAACTAGTTCTGGAGATGGATGTTGGTGGTGGCTGCACAACAATGAGAACTTACTTAATGCCACTGAACTATACACTTAAAAATAGGTAAACTGAGTAAATGTTATGTATATTTTGCCATAATAAAAAAATTGATAGTGCTAGAAAAAAAAAAATTCCTAGAAGACAATTGTAGAGGCTCATTCATTTCATTACATGTTCCAATACCAACCAGAGTGACTTTATATTGAGTTAATTTTATCTGGGCCTCATTTGGAATTCCTGGTCCCAAGTCTTTCTAGCAAGAGAACTTCAGTGAGGGCTGGCTTTACTGGTTATGTTTTTCTTCCTCCAGCTCAGCCTGACAGCCTGGATCCTACCCTTGTCAAAGACAGGCCATGGAAACTATGTTCCCGACAGCCAAGAGGATGGTGAGATATGGTTCCTTCTCTGCTTCCTTGGTATACTCATTGCTGCCAAACAACTCTTTTGTTCAGGTTGAGCCACATTTATCAATTTGGGGAATTTTCCTTCTTAGAAAGTGTGATATAAAGAGTCAGGTAGGTTCAAATCCAGGCTCTGGTTTAGATGTGTTCCCTTGAGCAAGTTACATGAGCATTCCAGTTACTGCTGCCTTATCTATAAAATGGGATCATGAGTGTGATGAGAGTGCCTGTCACCAAGAGTTGGGAGGATAAAATGAATGTAGCAGCCCTTTCCACAGAATGCAGTTAGATTTCAGTGTTCTATAAAGTGAAGCTATTGCTATTATAGTTACTCACTGTTTGTATCAGTGAGTGTTGCAGCTTACCTGCTGCTGTATATTCCAGATGCTATCTTAGGTGCTGGGAGATGAACTTTTACCTGAAGGAGATGACAGTTTGGAGAAGGAGATATGTAAAGAACTTCTTATGATGCAGAAATAAATTCTGAACTGTTTGTTTTCAAACGAGACAATGGAAGGTCAGTTATTGAATTTGTAGCATTATGTAGGGTGATTAGAAGAGGTTGAATGTGACAGAAAGGAGATGGTTAGGAAGCCATTACAGCAGTTGTTAAAAGAGACAGTTGGGGATAGCAGCTTGACAGTGCTGCTCCTGGGAGGCCATGTGCTTTGAGGGAGCATGAAACTCCACCTGCCATTCCCTGATGGCCAGAGAATCTGCTCTCAGAAAGGGCTAGTGATCTTCTGCCCCACCCTTCTGTACATTCTATACTTTCTGTCCAATAGGCAACAAAGTCTCCTACTCATGTTGTAAGACACAACTCAAAAATCATCTCCTCTGGGCGGTGCCTGTGGCTCAAAGGAGTAGGGTGCCAGCCCCATATGCTGGAGGTGGTGGGTTCAAACCTAGTCCCGGCCAAAAACTGCAAAAAAAAAAATCATCTCCTCTGTGCGGTCTTCTCTGCCATCCCCATCCCTGTATTTCTTTTTTTTTTGGCCAGGGCTGGGTTTGAACCCACCACCTCCAGTATATGGGGCTAGCACCCCACTCTTGAGCCACAGGTGCCACCACCATCCTTGTATTTCTTGAGTAGGTGGTGTTTGCAGGCCTTAGAACAAAAGCTTCTGAGGAAGGATGAGGAGGGCATAAGCTGGATCCTGGGGTGTGGAATGGTTGTGAAGTGAGGGGATGGTATTCTTTGTAGAGGTGGGTCCTATAAGGGGAAGAAAGAGAGGGAACAGAGAGGAAGTAAGGGGCAGGGATGTTATAAAGATAGGAAAGATTTTAGTATTTTTCCTGGCTAAAGAGAAGAAGCCAGTGGACAAGGGAAAGAGAGTAAAGATGCATACAAGGAAGAGTCATTATATTTGGAGGAAGATCCTGGGGGAGATGTAGAGAATGGAGTTGGAGGCAGAAGAGGAGGCCTACCTAGGAAAAGGAGACCTTCTTCCTCTAAGGGAGGAGAGAGATGGAATGGCTAAAAATTTGTGTATTATCTAGGGGAGTATGGTAGGATGAGAGGAGTTGAAGAGCACCTGCCCCCTGAGACTCTGGGGCTCCGTTCATAGAGATTTGATGGAAATGGGGTCCTGTAGAATTGAGCCATGCACAACCTCAGTAGCTGTATCCTGTGACCTCAGCAGGTGCTGAAGCTTTTGTTTGTTTTATTACTGGTGTATAGTATGAAGCCTAGCAACCTATCATGCTCAGTAAATGTTTACTGAAAGAAGGAGAATGATGAAGATGTAGATACCATTGATAGGGCTACAAGAGAAAGCATTGTTGAACAACATGCAAGGCTCAACTACAGATGTGTAGAGATAATTCTGTGATAAGTGAAGCCATTTGACTCCCCAGAGCTTTTTGTTGTAGGTGCAGAGGGGGCAGATGGTTGAGTAAGACAGCTGGAGGACCTTTTAGGGCTCTGGCAAAAGAGGGACATTCAGGATGGTGATGAGAAAGGGACTGAAACTGAAGCTCTGGAACTCAGGTTTGATAGGGAGGAAAGAAAGGTCCTATCAGTTGAGAGATTCAGGTATCTATCTGCAGACGGGAGCTAAGTGAAGCTTCTTAGGATGGGGTGGGAATTTCCAGGCTCTCTGCTCCAGGGGAACTCTCAGTGCACAGGAGTAGAATGCACAATTAACTGCACGTATGCTAATGCTGAAACATCTGTTTATCCCCTGTGGGATGTGGGTTTCCACTTTTGTGCATGTTGCTCCATACCATTTATATTTAAGAGTGGTGGGCTTCCTTGACTCTGGCTTCTGGTTGGCTGTTGGCAATGGGATGGAGTGGGTCAGAGGACATGGAACAGGGAACCAGAGGTCTGGAGGAAATAGAGGTTGGGTGACCATTACCTCAGCTCCCTCCCTGCCAGGCAGTAGGTTAGGGGTGGCTGTGTTCTCTGTAGCCCTAGCTCCAGTCTTCCTCCATGTCCAATAGCTTTCTTGATTCCAGTCTCTCTCCCCCACCCTACTCCTGCAGTCATGATACTTCCCCAAGATAGCCAGTACCTGCTGCCTCTACATTCCATTGATCCTCTCCATTCCTGTTTAAATAGCTGGCATAATAATCTTTCTGCAGTGACTCTATCTATCACTGGGGCAGAGGATGTAGTATTGTATATAATAGGGATCTGTAAGCTTCCCTGGACCTGTTGGTGAAGTTTTATTGGAACACAGCCATGCCCATTCACTTACCTAATGTGTATGGCTGCCTTTGTGCTACAACAGCAGAGACCAAATGGCCTGAAAAGTCCAAAATCTTTACCATCTGGCCTTGTAGAAGATAAGTCTGTTGACCCCATGAAATGGAAGACACAAAATGTGTAGCCTGAGGGCCAGCAGGTCTGAGTGGAGCCCTGCTTCTATTCCTTATGAATTGAGTGACCTTGACCTCCCCAAACTTCAGTTTTCTCGTGTGTAAAATAATAATCATTGCTCACAGTTATTGTAAGAAATTCAGTTACAATTATCAGCCAATTTTTCAGGAGTTGCTGTCATTTGAGGATGTGGCAATGTACTTCACCCAAGAGGAGTGGGGCCATCTTGACTGGGCTCAAAAGGACCTCTACAGAGATGTGATGCTGGAGAACTACAGCAACATGATCTTGTTGGGTAATGACTTGGGTTGAAGATAGGGCTTTGTGTGTTCTGAATGTTTATGTAAGTCCTTATTCCCTTATCTGCATTTCCAGAATCAGAAAAAGCTATGAAAGCCAGGAGCTTTTTCATAACTCACTTGGCTATAAACCCTGACCAGAAGTCACCTGCCAGTGAAACCTGATTTCATACCATAGGAAACAATTTATCGTTATTTGTTCACCTCAGTGTGCATGTGTATGTACCTAGCCTCAAAATAACAGAGTGTGTGATTATGGGCTCAGCTCCAAACCCTATAAAATATACATCCAAATCACCTTTCTGAAGTCTGGAAAAATTCAGAATTCTGAAACATCTGGCCCCAGAGGGTTCAAGATAAGGGATTGGGGACAGTGAATAGTAGTGTTTTGTGTTAGGGGTCAGAGGTACTGAATCTGTTTCTCACTCCACTCCATTATCCACATCTTCAAGATGTCTATGAGTTGAAAAGATTATGGTCCCTTTAGGTTCCAAAGGCTCATTTCTCATGTTCTTGAAAGTCTTGTTTCTTTCTTTTCTCTGGAATTGGGTAACTTCTTGTTTGTAAGACTAGTGAATACCCAGAAAATGATTTTAAACTGACTTAATTTCTGAGCCTTTACTGTTTCCATCTTTCCAGAAGTTTACTTTGTCTTATTCTGCTGCAGGGTTTCCCACTATGGGAATTACTTCAATAAATAGATTTCTTTTCGGGGCTACATGTTTGACCTCCCCACTGACACTCTCAGCAGTCTTGACCACCTTTTATGTGATCCTCTACTCACTTTTGTATTTTTTATGTTAATTTTCCTTTTATAATCATTACAAGATTGAGTGTTCTCAGGATATGAAAAAAATAAAAAATAAAAGCATTACAAGAGCATTCTTGAATACATGGAAGGTATGCAAAACTAATGGGAGAGGGATATGTTTGGGGGTATCACTTAATATTTTAGATGTTTCTTTCCAGTCTTTTCTACCTGTGCTTCTACAAAAGTAACTGAGCATATTCTGTGTGTGATTCTATTATCTGCTTTAAACTTAACATTATTGCATTAGTATTTTCCCACAGATACAGTAAATGATCATATGTAATTTTAGTATATGATCCATAGTAATATTTCATTGTTTTCCCATTTGGGGACATTCAGCTTAGCTTTTGTTGTTTGTTTGTCCATTTATCATTTGCTGCATTATAACACATCAGTGGATATTTCTGACTATAAATGGTTATATGAATTTTTTATTATCTCCCAAGATGTGTTCCCAAAACTTAATTTTGGAGTTGAAGGGTATGGCAATTTAATCTTCATAGATTTTTGTTGATGTTTTCAACAAACTTTATACTATTTTGTATATCAAGTAGTAGCATTTCAAAGTGCTTCTTTTACTGTATCACTGCACTCCTTTATAAATGTTACTGCCTCTAAAAGTAGTAATGTTCATTACAGAAATTTTGGAAAATACAGTGACTAGACTAGATAATAAAAGTCACCTAGAGGCCCACTGCTCAGAAATAACTCCTGTTTACATTTTCTTTTGTTTTGTTTTGTTTTAATTAATTAATTTATTTATTGCAGTTTTTTGGCCACGGCCGCGTTTGAACCTGCCACCTCTGGTATATAGGGCCGGTGCCCTACTCCTTGAGCCACAGGCACTGCCCTCCTGTTTACATTTTGGTTTACTTTTTCCTTCTCAGTCTGCGTGTCTCCTTACTTAGAGGTTGAGCATCCATTATCCAAAATGCTTGGGAGCAGAAGTGTTTTAATTTTGGATTTTTTTGGATTTGGGGTTCTTTTAAACACTTTCTCTTAGGAATGCTAAATCACCTGTGTGTTTGTTGTGCACCTACATTTTGACTTCAGCTAGTCATATGAGGTCAAATGTAGAATTTTCCAAATATGGTGTCATGTCAGTGCTCAAAAGGTTTCAATTTTTAGAACATTACAGATTTCATAATTTTGGATTAGGGATGCTCAAACCATATTTAACGATTTATACACACATATATACACACATAGTTTTTGAAAAAATTGGGATCCTGCTATATATGAGGGGTTTTTTTGTTTGTTTTGTTTTTTTTGAGACAGAGTCTCAAGCTATCACCATGGGTGGAATGCTGTGGCATCATGGCTCACAGCAACCTCCAACTCTTGGGCTCAAGCAATCTCTTGCCTCAATTTTTCAACTTTTAGTAGAGATGGGGATCTCGCTTTTGCTCAAGCAATCCACCTGCCTCGGCCTCCCAAAGTGCTAGGATTACAGGCATGAGCCACCGTGCCCAGCATGCTATACATGAGTTTTAGTCTGCTTTAAATTATACAGGGAGCATTTTCCTATTTTAGTAAATATTTGAACACAATGATCTTTATTATGTGCCTAATACTTACGCCTTTGTCAAATTAAGGTGTCACACTTGATTTAATCATTCTCTACTAACATTGCATTTACTTCCAGTTTTACACTCTATGACACTGTGCTGAACATCTCTGATACGTTCATCTTTGTCCTAATTGTTCCTTAGGCTACATTTATAAGAAGGAAATGATCATATCCAAAGGTATTAACGTTGTTCAGGCTTTCAATAAAGTTTGCCAAATAACAACAAAGATTGTGCCAATTTCTGTCCTTGTCCACCCTTGTGATTATTTTTTTTTTTTTTTTTTTTTGAGACAGAGCCTCTAGCTGTCCCCCTGGGTAGAGTGCCCTGGCATCACGCTCACAGCAACCTCCAACTCCTGGGCTCAAGCGAGTCTCTTGCCTCCGCCTCCCAAGTAGCTGGGACCACAGGCGCCTGCCACAACGCCCGGCTATTTTTTGGTTGCAGCCGTCATTGTTGTTTGGCGGGTCCGGGCTGGGGATTTGAACCCGCCACCTTAGGTGTACGTGGCTGGTGCCTTAGCTGGTTGAGCTATAGGTGCCGAGCCCACCCTTGTGATTATTTTCCTTATCTCTGCTTGCACGTGAGCCCTGGGTTATCTCCCTGTAATTCACTAATGGCCACATCCCATTTACTTCTCCCGAGTAGGATTTCAGTTTCCCAAACCTGAGGTGATCTGTCAACTGGAGAAGTGGGATGAGCCCTGGATCCTGGACCTACCAAGAGCTGGGAATAGGAAGGCTTCCAGTAGTGCTTACCCAGGTGGGTGAGGCAGAGACTGAGGCAGGTAGAGTCAGGAAGAAGCAGGGGAGTCATGTCTATGAAGTCCTTCTGTGGGCCAGATACTGAGGCAGGAGTTGGGCATGTGTGATCCCATTTCTTCATCCCTGTGGCCCTGTGAGGGTGGGAGGAAGATCAACATTCCCCACTTCTAGATGAACCAACTAAAAGATGAAGACATCTCTCACACAGTTAGGAGTGGACAATGGGATTAGATTTCAAGTCTGCAAAGGTTGTCCTGTTTCCTGCATGATAAAATGCTTCTGAGGCAGCTGCTCAGGTGTTTTCCAAGTATACTTCTCAGGCTACCCAGATGCTCCTTTGTTATACCCTTGATACTTATCCTTTCTCTCTGCTGCTTCCCTTGCTTCATTTTGCTTTTCATTTTCCCTCAGTATTTCTTGGTATACTTACATTTTCTTACTTACTATGTTCTGATGCTGTTTCCATTGTTTTTCGCATCCCTCTGCTCCAAGTTTTCTCTACCTTAACACTACTTTGACATCTTGGGCTGATTAATTCCTGGGGGTAGGAGATCTATCCTTTGCATTTGTGAGATGTTTAGCAGCATCCCTCGCCTTCATCCACTAGATGCCAGTAGAAACAAAAATGTCTCCAGATACTGTCGAAATGCCAGATGAGACCCATTGCTGTCAAGTCAGTTGACTTTGGCCCTGGTTCCTTTTCTGTTTTAGCCTGTGCTTTCTCCACTTTTAAGGCTTTGTTTCATCCAGAATTATTAAAAACATGTATCTTGAAGCATAAGATGCTACCTGTCCAACATTTATATGAACCTCCTGAGTACTTAAAGTTGTTTTTCCAATAATGGTGATGGGTTTGTTATGCTCTTACTTTCTGTACTACATACTATTGTTCATTTTCAGTGGGTTTGTTCATACCAATAGCTTTTTTACTATGGCAGTGTAGAGTCCTATGAAATTGAGAATTGGGGTTTTTTGACTCTGATGATGTAAATAAGTGAGCACTTCTTATCTTCATTTGATTATCTTATATTCCAAACTGTTGGCTGCTATTCCTTTTTTCTCTGTGGACAGGTCATTTACATCTTGTTATTTGGTTAGGTTCTGAACCCAGATACAAGATGACGACACTAACTTCAAAGCAGAAAGTTTCTGAAGATTTAGAGTCATGTAAGATGTCAGTGGTGATGCAGCAAATGGCCAAGAAATTTTCAGAAAAGTTACACAAATGTAAAGAAGTTGTGGACAGTTGCAGGCTTGTCCTTCCTAATGGTGATGCTGAATACAACAAAGGCTTCCTTCAAAACCTTAACCTTCAAGATCAGAATGCTCAAACAGGGTGGAAGCAAGGCAAATGTGATGAAGATGGAAAACGCTTCAATCAAAGCTCTTTGCTTTTGAGGCATGAGCTAATTTTTACAAGAGCAAAATCTTATGAATGTAATCAATGTGGGAAAGTCATTCGACGTAAGGCATGGTTTGATCAACATCAAAGAATCCACTTTTTAGAGAATCCCTTTGAGTGTAATGTATGTGGGCAAGCCTTCAAACAGCGATCAGCTCTTATTGTCCATAAACAGTGTCACTTGCAAAGCAAGCCATATAAATGTCCTGACTGTGGAAAGTGTTTCCGTCAGGTTGCATATCTTGTTGAACATAGGAGAATTCATACCAAAGAAAAACCGTACAAATGTAGTGAATGTGAAAAAACCTTTAGTCAGAATTCAACTCTTATTCGACATCAGCTAATCCATAGTGGAGAAAAACCCCACGAGTGCCTTGAGTGTGGAAAAGCCTTTGGTCGGTATTCAACACTTTTGTGCCATCAACAAATTCACAGTAAACCAAACACCCATAAATGTAGTGAATGTGGACAGTCCTTTGGCCGGAATGTGGATCTCATCCAGCATCAAAGAACCCATACAAAAGAGGAATTCTTTCAATGTGGAGAATGTGGAAAAACTTTTAGTTTTAAGAGAAATCTTTTTCGACATCAGGTCATTCATACCGGAAACCGACCCTTTGGATGTGACGTATGTGGAAAATCTTTCAAGTGGCACACAAGCTTTATTAAGCATCAGGGCACTCACAAAGAACAGATGTCTACATGATATTAACTGGAAGTGATATCATTTAAAGACTATAGCTTATTTACCACCAAGTGTGTAGAACTTGATTGTTTCATGAAATGCAATAAACAGAACTGAGATTTTTTTTTCTTTGAGGACTCTCCTTTTGTAGCAAACTTTTGCTATAGTCAAGAATCACTTAATAGAAAATGTTAATAGGCTGTGGTTGCTGCTCTCTGTGGAACCCTCTGTACCCTCATTTTCCCCTGTCTAGTTAAGGCAGAAGGGAGGCATAGAAACTTTACCTTATAGTCTTCCAGTTTGGGGACTGTTTACAGCATTGTGAACAATTTAAGAATGCCTTTCCTGGGTTTCATAGAAAATGACCTGATAATGCATAGAGTTAAAAAAAAAAAAAAAACTAAGGGGGGCAGCACCTGTAACTCAGTGGGTAGGGTGCCAGCCACATATACCCAGGCTGGTGGGTTTGAATCTGGCCCTCGCCAGCTAAACAACAATAACAGCAACAAAAAAATTGCTGGATGTTGTGGCAGGCACCTGTACTCCCAGCTACTTGGGAGGCTGAGGCAAAAGGATTGCTTAAGCCCAAGAGTTTGAGGTTACTGTGAGCTGTGACGCCATGGCACTCTACTGAGGGCAACATAGTGAAACTCTGTATTAAAAAGAAAAAACAAAACCCAAACTAAGGACCTCAGTAAGTGGTGAGGAGGAATAATTGCTAAAATTTATCCATAAAGTAAAATTAATGTGCTAATAGATCCCAGTGAAAGTACAAAGTCAGTGTTTGTAGCAGATGCTGCAAGTACTCTACCTACATCCCTCTGATCTTACCCTTTCTGTGGGTTTCATCTTTCACTGTCTGCATCTCTTGGCCTGTGGGGTAATAATTCATCCTGGAAGCAGCCTCTAACCAATCATTGATTGGAATTTGATAGATTCTGACTCTCCCTGTTCCCATGTGTGGAATACCTTTGAAGCAAGCGTTCTGCACTGTTTCCAGAGTTTCCCTGTGGAATTACACACACTCCCTCATCATGATAGCTACCTCATTAGCTGTCTTCTCTCTCTGTCTCTTCTACCAGTGGTTCAACACCTCTGTCACCGATAAACAACTTGTGCTCAAAAATGTCTGTTAATTCTTGAGGAGCCATATCCCTTTTGTTTCTACGGTTCAAGCACATTCTGACGTTTGCGTTAAATAGGGTGAACTGAGTGTACAGTTTCCCTAGAGCTCAGCAGTGCAGGACATCCATGTGAAGTTATTTTGGTCCCAAACATCATCCTTGATCTGATTAAAAACTGCTGCTACTTGGACCCTCTCATAATACTCAAACTCTCTAATTTGTTCTTGATGTTATTATTTTCTTGTCCCTCCCAATTCCATGACTTCTTACCAAGCCTGTATAATAATTTTTTTTTTTTTGAGACGGTCTCACTATGTTGCCCTCGGTGGAGTGCTGTGGCATCACAACTCACAGCAACCTCAAACTATTGGGTTTAAGCAATTCTCTTGCCTCAGCCTCCCAAGTAGCTGGGACTACAGGTGCCTGCCTCAACACCTGGCTATTTTTTCAGTGCAGTTGTCATTGTTGTTTAGCAGGCCCAGGCTGGGCTCGAACCCACCAGCTTCGGTGTATATGGCTGGTGCCCTACTCACTGAGCTATAGGTGCCAAGCCTAAAATAAAATGTTTTAAAATATCTTTTGGGAATGAGAAGAAAGCATAGGAATTTAAACATATGCCACTGGGGCATAATGGCCATTGCATTTTAGACACTTATAAAACAAAATGTTAAAGATCCCTCTGACCTTCATGCTGTTCACATGCTGTTCATTAACTGCAAGATAGGAAATTCCCACGTGAAAGATGTTTGCCATGTACTATCTTATCATTAAGGATGGGAAGTTGAGACTAAGGGAATGCTGTGCAAACCTTGTTAAAATAACTTATTAAGCTTCCTCACATAATTTAGGTACTTCTTAACAACTTGGGATCATTTATACAATTTAGTATGTAAGTAACTGGCTAATTGCTAATTTGGGCCTTTCCTTTCCTTATGGAGCTTCTTGTGCCATGTAAAACATGAATATGAATGAATTTATATGCTTTTCTCCTTTTAATCTATTTTATGCCAGTTTAATTCTCTGGTCCAGCTAGCAAGCCTCTCCCCATATAATTCAGGAATCTTAACTCCTTGCAAGAGGAAAAATCATGATTAGTGCACCCTACTCCTTGAGCCACAGGCACCACCCGCATGAGTACATTCTTAAATGTAACTTTCATTTTTCATCTCCAAAAAGGTGGCTTTTTCACTTGTCAACATCTCAGCTAGTGAAAATGAAGAAGATGGGGCTCAAAAATACCTACTCAGTATTTTTGTCTGAGTTAGCAAGAATTACCTAGAGAAAATCCAAATTGGACTTCCCTAAACAAAATAGCTTGACCCTGAAGATTGAGGAAGAAATAGGCTGGTGAGAGAGGAGCTTGGCTCAAAATCACCATGGAGACAGGGAACCTATGAAAAGCAGATCCAAGGCTGAGTCCGCACAAGTCTGGCTCAGGCTGTTCCATCAGTTCTGTGTAGATACACAAGCCTTGAGCTCTCCAGACAGAGAGGGGCATGAAGTTAGACTCCAGAAATAAATGAGCACAGCTACCATGAGCCATATCTGTCTCAAGCAGAGACACAAACGGAGGCTATTACAGGAAATAGGTAAATGTTCCTGTTCCAACTTTCATACAAATTCAACTTACAAACATACAGAACCTATCTTGTTTGTCACCTGGAGACTGCCTGTATTTCGTGGCACCTCTCTGTTTACAACAAGCTAAAGGGACCTTTATAATGGCCCCTATAAAATGTTTGATTCACTGAAAATATTTTGTAGAATTTCTTCTTTCTTTCTTTTTTTTTTTTTGAGACAATCTGTCACCCTGGGTAGAATGCTGTGGCGTCACTGCTCACAGCAACCTCAGACTCTTGGGCTTAAGAGATTCTCTTGCCTCACCCTCCCAAGTAGCTGAGACTACAGACACCTGCCATAACGTCTGGCTACTTTTTTGTTGTAGTTGTCATTGTTGTTTTAGCAGACCTGGGCCAGGTTGGAACCCACCAGCCCAGGTATATTGGCAGGCGTCGCCCTGTGTAGGATTTCTTGACACAAAGGATGGAGGGGTGGGGTTGGTCTGGAAGTCTTGCTCAACCAACTTGCTGTGAGAAAAAGGGGCCCCCAGCTCAAAGGGTCCTAAAGAGTGCCAGGTTAGGCTTACTACTTTCCCAAGAGGCTAGATGGATGGCCAAGAGTTCAGGTCCATATATGTTGATGTTTTTTAACAGTTGGCAGTATAGCAGGAGCTCCAAACTAGCCTCCAGGGAAGGTAATGGGAAGAAATGCTAAAGTTTTGGCTCTCCTATTTGGCTAATAGGCTAGACCCATTGTCCTTCATGCCTGAAGAGTTGGCCAACACTCAGCTCAACCTGTGAAGATATCTATACCTTGTTAGTAAGAGTTTGACAACCACAGAGTAGAATACTCCACTGGATTAGAAAAGGGGTGTCTTGTCTTGACAATACCACTGAAGCTTTCCTATGATATTTGTGATAAAATTAAACACTGTTAAAGTAACTATAAAGTAAGATAAAGTGTGATAAGTGCTTTCATTTAAAAATACTTTTTTTTACCTCCTCAAGTTATAAATGCTTAATTGTAAAATGTCACAAATGGTAACCTGGTTTTATTATGCATGACTAGTACTCAGCTCACACAATAGTGGAGAATGCTTGTATGGGTCTAGACCTTGCACAAGTACATTCTTTTTTTTTT